GAGGTGTCTAGAAATTTGGCCTAAATTACAGCTAATAATTTCCCCTGACCAGGTCAAAGTCTGGATGCAGGACCCACTTTTCATACTTTTCGTCTTCTTATCACAATAAATTGATCAAGCGGGGACAGTTTTTGGATCTTGCCTTAATAATAACCTAACACATGTGGTGCTCTTAGAACGATATAATCTTTCTATTTGTTGATCTTTTTAGAACGGACCCCAGGGGTTTCGCACGAAAAAGACAATTAACTACTGTTTGTGAGGTTTTTAAGGAAAATTATTTCACGTATGCAATTAGTAGCTCTCTCGTGTATGTTAAATTGCATGGCCTGCGTTCATTAAAGTTCAGAAAGCAACACAATTTCTCCCTTTTTTAAATAGTACTTGCTGTAGGGTAGACAATCGAAGGGCATCATTATACTTTCATATCGTCCCAAAAAGTATTCTTTCCTGTTCCGGTGGATAAGCCAAGTAGTAGCAATCACCGAAAACAGCAAGCACTTGTTTACCTTTTTGGATTATCGAGTTTATGGTTTATTAGCTTTAACATCCTACAAAACTCTACATGTTTCTGTATTTCTTTATCGAAGACAAAGGACAATGAAAATAGAGCTCCTTTCCTTGACCACCTACTTATCCCCTATTCTGCAACTGGAGTAGTTTCTCTTGTTCACGAAAATAGGTTCCAAAAAGCTTTACCGTCCTGCAGACGAAATCATAAAGCTCGCTTCGGAAGCTGCAGTCCTCAGATACCATTAGGTGGACGCTAATGGACCGGCTAGCGAGAAAAAAAACACCTAAAGAATACGTTAAAAAGCTGTATAAAATCGGCGAGACCTGGACCGAATGATTTAATACACTTGTGTAAAAAAAGTTTAAATAGTAACTATAGCCTTGCAATTTACTAAACAATGTGAGAAGTCAGAACTAACAGATCAGAAAAAGCCGTGGAGTTCTGGGATGTTAGAAATTAGTGCTTGTTATAACTGACAGTGTCCGCTTAGGATGCTCGAATTTCCTATTCCTTTAAATTTTAGTTTGGATAGCATCTTAAAAAGTAAGCTGGGTGAGTATCAGATGTCAGTATGTAAAAAACGTTGAGGAAATAAACTGACACAAGTTCGTGATTTAAGGGGGCCATTAGAACCCAGTTTGAAACCCTGTACATGACAGACGAATTAGCATTCGATTCAAAAGGGCTCTTTTGCTCAGTCGCATTTCGTGTCACGGCGGCCGGCCTCACCTAACCATGACAATCGTGGTCAGGTGTACTTATTGGTACCGAAGGAATTTGATAACCCTTCAGGAGATGATTCCTGCGTCGTTGGTCTTTAATCCGTGGGCCGCGATCGTGCACCAACCTACGTATGCACCGACCACACGCGTCCACATAATAAGCCTTTCTTACCATGTTGATCGCCCTCCTACCCCTCCCTTTTTGGTTAGGATGCACGCTACGGAACGGCGCTATCAGCAAATCTGCACGATTTTTAGGGTGCGTGTTGCCCCGAAAGGCATGACTAACTGACTCATTTACGGCGGCCAATCAAGAATTCTGGGCTCAACCGTTCTTTCCATGGTAGCCCCAAGCCCTCTCCTATCCACAGTACACCACACGCAAGGGGTGGTCGCAGTGACTATGATACGCCGGCGGTCACGCGATTTTTCATGGGTCACACGTTTATTCCGGCTTATGCGTCTCTTATGCATGGAAAGGCCTGGGGTTGTAACCTGTGAAACTCCTGTTTCATGTTTCACCAATAGAGGGTAGGGAACGGATCCGTGGAAATCCCTTCTTTGCAGCCACCGGACATATGGGAGTTTTCAGGTTAGACCAATCCC